TGGGAACTTACTCTTATTATATGAATTGAAACCATTTATAGATTGTAATTTTATCATTTTCTCGGTGCTCTATGAAATTTGAAGTAATCCATTTCTTTAACTCCATTGTCACAAATTCCATGACTTTTCCAAAACTTTTCAAGGTTTTGACAAATCCCATAACTTTTCAAGGCCTTTGAAATTTATTTTTTAAATTCCAAAACTTTTCCAGGATTCCATGACCTGCAGCAACCCTGTTAATATATATCTGTTACTCTGATATATATATATATATATATATATATATATATATATATATATATATATATATATATATATATATATATATAAAGCAGAGACTGACTTATTGGTCTAGGTAAGGCCTTACTAAGGGATACAAACTGACCAATACCTTTAACGTTCGTGTACTTTGTCATTTGGAAGTTTCCAATACTAAAATACACCCACACCTCCAACCCGAGTTGTCTCCTTACGATGGCCCTGGTCCATATGAAAAATTTGGTGGTACTAAATATATGATGTAGTCAATGTACTGCAACGGGTAAGTGGCACGGGATAATTGGACATACCGTTCTATATTGTCACGCTAGAACGAAACTCTCCTTCAAAGTTAATTTGTTGACTATTTTATTAACTTTTATCTGTCCCAAATTAAAAGGATACACAACTAAGGGTTCACTGTTGGATAAAGCTTTGTCCATTCTAGCACAAAGTGCTTAACTGGTAGTTAAAATTTGTTCATCAACATGTACATCGCTGTAGTAAATGCATAAAACCAGTTCCGGTCCGCCATTGCATTACGCATGCTCAGCCAGATTTGTTTTGTAGAATTTCCTGTGTCTCGTGTCAATGAATTTGACAAAGGAGTGGAAACTAAATTATCTGATTCGTGGCGTGTATTAAAGTTTGAGGGTTTTCCGAATGGATATAAATAGTATGGAATCACCTTGATCTAGATGAGTAACATAAATTGTGTGATAATTTTTGTAGATTCCACTTATATTGCCCACAACTGACAGTAACATGGGGCTACTGTTTTCTCGCTTATGGAGTTTTTTCACAAATGAAGGTGAGCTCAGTACAGTTACACATTTTGCCCTCTGGCCTGAATATATATTAGCTAAGATGTCGTAGCCTCAGCTTGTTTTTTGGTGGTCCACAAGGTAGGACTAAGTGTACTAATATTAGTACTATATATATATATATATATATATATATATATATATATATATATATATATATATATATATATATCTATATCTATTGGTATTGAGCATTGAAATTGTACCTAGCTCAGTTGACAGATAAGGCGAATCTTCGGGGAATGTGAATATGTGAGAAAGCTTGCCAGTAGCTTCTCAGATTTCCCTTCTTCCTCCACCATTAATACTGGCCAACATGTATGGCCTATCGTGTGCTGAAAAATGGCATTAAGCCCCAGAACAACAACAAGAACATTCAGAATTGCCTTTGCTTTAATTCTTTATTTATAATAATGAATATCTTACAGTGAATGATTGTTTTATACTGGTAAAACAACAGTACATGTATATCATATACACTTTTAAGGAGAGCAAACTGTTAACAACAGTACATGCATGATATTCTAGATTATGGCAAGAGATAAAAGGGTGTTGATATTGCTACTGCAAATTGAAAAATCCTGTGGAGAACCCTGATATGAAACTTTATTCAAAATAATAATAAATAAATATTATAAATTTAGTGTGAAATATAATATTGTTCCTTCTTTTTACTAAATTTCATGCCTTACAATATAGATTCATAAAAATCACAGATGAAAAAAAAATATTACATAAAGCTATAAGACTATGAAAGTTTATAATAATGAAAAAATGCTAGTTCCAACAAAAGTTAAATTTGAGTTCAATATATGATTTTCTTTTCCAATTTTTTTTCTGGAAACTTCAGTACAAATTTTACATACAAACCAGCAATTCAATTACCTTGTAGTAAGAGTTGTACTGTGCATCATTGGATAGACTCTTTATTTTACAACCTTTGGCTTCTTCCAGCACAGATACATCTCCCTGTCATGTGAATGAAGCACATGAAATCCTATTGTTTCCATTTAAATTTGCATTTCAGTGACTTGATCTTAGGCTGAATCTCTTTACACAACTCAAATGCTGTTTGCTCATGAAATACAAGTTTCATAAGGAAATTTATTTAGTGAAAGCTCTTATATGTCTTGGCAGTTGGAAGATAGTGTCTTGAAGTAGGGAAACTTACCAGTTTTGTTTAGTTCATATGGTTGATTTCTTTGCATTAGTCCTTTGTTTTGGTAGCAGAAAATATAGGTTTGATATTAACTGCATAGAGGTTATATTGTATGTTCAGGCATACATATCACTCAAGTAAAAAGGTATTAAATTATAAAAGGCATTGTAAACAATAATTTAACTGATATTAATTTTTTTTCTCAAAAAAGAAGCCGTTTTAAAGACTGAAATAAGTGAGCAGATTGTTATTGAAACAATATCAAGTACAATTCTAGCAGTACACTTTTGAAAATTGATTAAATCATATATAATAGTTTGTGTACATGAATCCTAAACTATACAACAGTAGTCCATTACATGTAAATATAATAGATTAGTTTTCTTGCATGAGCTGGTAGATATTTCTTTAGTTTTTGTAGCTGTCTTAATATGGAAGTTACAATGTTTCAGAAGTGATTTATATGATGCATCAGACTTTGGTTATCATCAACATATTATACTGTCATATACCTGAATGAGTAAGGAGTTTTATAATACATGTATGCTGTATTCTACATTCAACATATACTGTCATATACCTGAATGAGGAAGGAGTTTTATAATACATGTATGCTGTATTCTACATTCAACATATTATACTGTCATATACCTGAATGAGTAAGGAGTTTTATAATACATGTATGCTGTATTCTACATTCAACATATACTGTCATATACCTGAATGAGGAAGGAGTTTTATAATACATGTATGCTGTATTCTACATTCAACATATTATACTGTCATATACCTGAATGAGTAAGGAGTTTTATAATACATGTATGCTGTATTCTACATTCAACATATTATACTGTCATATACCTGAATGAGTAAGGAGTTTTATAATACATGTATGCTGTATTCTACATTCAACATATACTGTCATATACCTGAATGAGTAAGGAGTTTTATAATACATGTATGCTGTATTCTACATTCAACATATTATACTGTCATATACCTGAATGAGTAAGGAGTTTTATAATACATGTATGCTGTATTCTACATTCAACATATTATACTGTCATATACCTGAATGAGTAAGGAGTTTTAAAATACATGTATGCTGTATTCTACATTCAACATATACTGTCATATACCTGAATGAGTAAGGAGTTTTATAATATGCTGTATTCTACATTCAACATATTATACTGTCATATACCTGAATGAGTAAGGAGTTTTATAATGCATGTATGCTGTATTCTACATTCAACATATACTGTCATATACCTGAATGAGTAAGGAGTTTTATAATACATGTATGCTGTATTCTACATTCAACATATTATACTGTCATATACCTGAATGAGTAAGGAGTTTTATAATACATGTATGCTGTATTCTACATTCAACATATTATACTGTCATATACCTGAATGAGTAAGGAGTTTTATAATATGCTTTATTCTACTTTTAACATATTATACTGTCATATACCTGAATGAGTAAGGAGTTTTATAATATGCTTTATTCTACTTTTAACATATTATACTGTCATATACCTGAATGAGTAAGGAGTTTTATAATATGCTTTATTCTACATTCAACATATTATACTGTCATATACCTGAATGAGTAATGAGTTTTATAATACATGTATGTTGTATTCTACATTCAATATATTATACTGTTATATACCTGAATGAGTAAGGAGTTTTATAATATGCTTTATTCTACTTTCAACATATTATACTGTCATATACCTGAATGAGTAAGGAGTTTTATAATATGCTTTATTCTACATTCAACATATTATACTGTCATATACCTGAATGAGTAAGGAGTTTTATAATACATTTATGTTGTATTCTACATTCAATATATTATACTGTTATATACTTGAATGAGTAAGGAGTTTGAATGAGTAAGGAGTTTTATAATATGCTTTATTCTACATTCAACATATTATACTGTCATATACCTGAATGAGTAAGGAGTTTTATAATACATGTATGTTGTATTCTACATTCAATATATTATACTTGTATATACCTGAATGAGTAAGGAGTTTTATAATATGCTTATTCTACATTCAACATATACTGTCATATACCTGAATGAGTAAGGAGTTTTATAATATGCTTTATTCTACATTCAACATATTATACTGTCATATACCTGAATGAGTAAGGAGTTTTATAATATGCTGTATTCTATATTCAACATATTATACTTGTATATACCTGAAGGAGTAAGGAGTTTTATAATACATGTATGTTGTATTCTACATTCAACATATTATACTGTCATATACCTGAATGAGTAAGGAGTTTTATAATATGCTGTATTCTACATTCAACATATTATACTGTCATATACCTGAATGAGTAAGGAGTTTTATAATATGCTTTTTTCTACATTCATCAGACATTTGAATGGGATTTTGCAAGGATAACCAGTTTTATGTTATTAGTGGCACTGTGGTGGTCATTTTAGTTTTATATTAATTGCATTGTCTTGATACCATTTACTGATATAATGAAGACCATGCTGCATGTATTCTTTCATTGTGTTGCAGATTTTGACCCTGATAATGTGGAATATAGCATTATCTGCATTCAGTTTTCTATGTATACTGCACACTGTCAGGTCCTTAATGCACATGAAAAATAAGTTAGATCCTTGGAATGAACCACAAGGCAGACTATAATTTATTCCTCCTCAACTTTAGACTACTACGAAGTTGTAATTGCTGGATTCTGTTACTAGGATATACCGTTCTTTTGGCCTAGTTGTTAGAGCATCTGCATCAGATGCAGGAGGTCATGGGTTCAAACCCTGGCTGAGTCATAACAAAAACATATAAAAATACAAATAACAGCTGCCTCGATAGGTACTCAGGGTTCAGAGGTTAGTGTTAGGACTGGTGGTCAGCCAGGTTTTAGATAATGTGACTGGGTGGGACATCATGCAACATGTTTGCTGCATGATGCCCCAGTGCTAGACATCACCATAAACTGCCACATTGCAGACATTGTAGCAATATTACTAAACAATTGCTAAAGCTACAATAAAAAGAACACACACACACTGTTACTAGGATATTTTATCTAGAAAATATTGTCTCATTGACAGAAAAGCTTTTGAACAAGCATAATACCATCAAAAAAGTTGAGATATGATACCCTTATTTTATAATAACTTAGGGCCTACACCATAAACCAGTGTGCCTTTCAAGCATTAAGATTTTGGGGATGGTACCATACTGTGTATTATGATTGTTTTTATTTTAAGTTTAGTTTTAAAATAATTTTGAAGTGGGAAGCAAAATAATTTAATTTTATGTAGCATAATGTTGAGCACAATTGGTTGTTTATATATTCAGTTCTGAAGATGGTATCAGAGTATTATCATTTATTTTTAATTGAGAAAGCTTAGTTTTATATGTGTAATAAACAAAATATAGATAAAATTGACTTGCTCCTTTCAATTCTGATATTTTTTATTTTATGTATTTTCATCATTGAAATTATTATTTTTAAAACAAAATATTAATGGAAAGTATTAACTTAAAAATACAAGAGTTGAAAATGAAATAATTATCCAAAGTCACAAATAGTAACTCAGGTTTTTTGAATGTTTATTAATTTTTTGTTGACCATGCACATAAATCTTCATATTTTCCTGGAAGTGGCAATAAGTTTCTTTTACTCAAATCTTGGATAAGATGACAGTTTTTTATATATATATGGTTATTACTGCCTCAAACTTAACAATAATAATATAATATATTTAATATAAGAAAAATATATTTAAAACAAATTGGAATCTCAGTTGAGACTACATCTAACCTTTCATATCCCATGCTAGATTTGTTTTAGTTTTACCAGGTTTTTTAGAAACTGTCCATATAAACATATATAATATGGGATGAGCTAGGTCAGCTGAGCTCTAGGCATTTCACTGTGGTGGAATTGGGGTACTGGAAAATATGTGGTTCAGGAGAGAAAAAAAAAATAGAGTAATACCTGTAAGAATTCATTATCTCCATTAATGTATTATCTTTATTGCCAGTTTTGTTATTTTCTTATTTACATCCTGTTTGGGAAAATTACATGTACAGGATTCAGTTTTAGAAAATGGCAAATTCATGGCTAGTTGATGAGGTTTTTAAGGACACAGTCTTTGATACTGAAGGTCAAAGACTGGCATTTGAAAATCCAGTATGTCTTGAAAGTACTTCAGAAAGCTCTCTTCAAAGTATTGGTATTGAAATTGTGAGCAAAAGCCCATTTAATACAGTTTGCATTATGCCCATTTAATACAGTATATTATACCCATTTAATATAGTTTGTATTATGCCCATTTAATACAGTTTGTATTATGCCCATTTAATACAATTGGTACAGCTAACTTAGTTCCACAGCTTGATTGCTTTTGAGTAATCTTATTTATTAAACTTCATTTTATCAAATTTTGTTGGATATCAACAGAACTAATATAAACTATGTATATTTGTCACTGAAATTTAATTTACTTTTTGCATTTATGAGAAATTGGTGGAAAATCATGTGGAGAAGAACTCTAAACATTTATCAGTACCAGGACTAATATAAACTATGTACATTTGTCACTGAATTTTAATTTACTTTTTGCATTTATGAGAAATTGGTGGAAAATCATGTTGAGAAGAACTCTAAACGTTTACCAGTTCCAGGACTAATATAAACTATGTATATTTGTCACTGAATTTTAATTTACTTTTTGCATTTTTGAGAAATTGGTGGAAAATCATGTGGAGAAGAACTCTAAACATTTACCAGTACCAGGACTAATATAAACTATGTATATTTGTCACTGAATTTTAATTTACATTTTGCATTTATGAGAAATCGGTGGAAAATCATGTTGAGAAGAATTCTAAATGTTTACCAGTTCCAGGACTAATATAAACTATGTATATTTGTCACTGAATTTTAATTTACTTTTTGCATTTATAAGAAATTGGTGGAAAATCATGTTGAGGAGAACTCTAAACGTTTACCAGTTCCAGGACTAATATAAACTATGTATATTTGTCACTGAATTTTAATTTACTTTTTGCATTTATGAGAAATTGGTGGAAAATCATGTTGAGAAGAACTCTAAACGTTTACCAGTACATAATGTTTGAAGAACGGTTGGGACAAAATAATTTTCAACTTTAATGGACAGTATATAGTCTCATTAAGCCTATGCAGGCAGTTTATTAGGAGTAATCATCGGAACAAAAGACATAGGCCCTAATCTGCCAGTGTCTTATGTTACAGCAGATCAGTATCTGTGTTGTTTGCACCTGACTTGTATGCAAGTATGCTGTCTTATTTGACCAAAGAAGAAATTTTAAAGCTCTTCATAAAGGTCTTCCTCTTTTTATCTTTATGTTTATTGGAGATAAGTTTTATAAAAATCTTCTGTTAGAGCCATTTGAAATATAAATTTATAACATTTGATCCACAGACTTGCACATATTTCCATATGAATTAATTTATTATTTTTTGGATAAAAATTTAGGATTTTTAAGTGGAATTGGGCAAGCTTTTTTGGACATCAATTGATTAAAATTGGATTAAAATTTTTATATGCATCAATCAAAGCTCATGGTTTTTTAAAAGTTTGGAATTCCTGGACTTCTTATTTGTAGTAACTTACCACATAAAGTATTAATTATGTTCAAGATTGCAATTTTTATCAGTTGTAATCCGATTCTTGTAGACATGGAAATCCATTGCATTGAAGACTATGAATGTTCTTGTTAATAAAGAATGAACTTAAGTTGGATATCATAATTCAGATAGTTTTCTCTTGGACAATTCAATGTATTGTTTTAAATTTTTGCAATAGTAATTTATATGAATCAATCCATATTTAGCAATGAATTTGTAAATTGTACTATTGCAGTGATTGCACATGTAGCAGGTGCCCATCCAAATGAATGAAAATAGATCCATAACATCCAGTTTCTCATTGTGTATAAGGCCAAGAAAATGTTTTAACAGTCAGCCAACCATCTGTTTTTCATTGCTGACACTATGTACTTTTTCCTCTCAAGGTAAAAAATAATTTAAAAAGTTTTTTTTTTAAATTTCTAAAATTGATTTGTGCGTTATTTAATTGAGCTGATTTTTCCAGTACTTGAAGTTCTTTGTACATTATTTATACATATATAATATTTTTTAAAAAACCTAACTACTTTCCCAAATTTTATAACCAGTGCAATTGGAAACACGTTTTTTGGGGGGTGGGCGGGCGATCTAATGATGATTGCAATGGCTGTCACAATTAATGATCATATCTGTATTTGACAGCACATACCCTGTTGGAAGACTGGCTTATATACTGGCATAAAAGTGGAGTCCTACTGCAATTAACATACTCAGATCTTCAATTGCATAATGCAAAGGCAATTCATTATATTCTACTAATTACTCCCTGCAAACTGCAAATGAAATTTCTTAAATCTGAGGTTATGACTGAAGTTGGATATATGTTAATATATGTACATTCCATGAATAGTATCTTGTCAATCTTTACTGGGTAATCTTTTGGGAACAAACTGATTATAATTGTGTCCCTATGGACTCAAATGATCTGTACACCATACCTACATGTCCAGACCAGAGTTGATTCCTATCATACTGTAGTGTACATGCATGCATAACTGAGCTGACATTTTTGTTGCACAGTGCTCCCCAATATCTATATGTCAACTTGCTTTGTGCTTACATCTAGGCTCCAAAAAAGTGGATCTCACTCAACCTCATCCCTTATGCTCAATCTTTTCTTCAGGTTGAACCCTTTTGTCATTTTTAAAATTGTGAAAAAATTTCAAAATCTTGTGCTCTCTGTCCTAACTATTAGACAAGGCCACAGTAATCAAGATTGCTTTGTACTTTAAGAGCTATTAAGTGAGCAAATGAAAAAGGAATTAAAAACTGTTGCTTCTTCACACACAGTACTTCAATTATTGAAGCTGAAAGCTACTAATAGTCTATTAATGGAGTCTGTATATTATTTTGGCATTTAGTTTGTAGGAAATGTTTGGAACAGAAATAAATGACCATGATTTTGAAAACTTTTGCACCACATTATATACAAGCACAGGGAGTCATGGTTTGTCTTATCAAGTATTGAAGCATAGAGAGTGCACACAACAAATAGAATATTGATGCAGCTTTTATCCAGAAAAAAAAAAAGAACACCTAACTAGCAGCCGTCCCTATCTTGGAGTCACCATTTTAGCAATGTACATACTAAGACTTAGTCTTTGTGAGTGCATTCTATCTAATATGTAACATTGTTTGATATTAATTGTCTAGTTTCTGGAGACTTTCCCCACCTTATTAGATATATGAAAATTGGGATGGGGATGGGAAGAGGTCACCACAAATTATATATTTGTATGGGAGGGGAGGTCATAGGAAACTCAGGCTAGTTATTGCCATTGATTTATAATAATAATAATAATAATAATAATAATAATAATAATAATAATAATAATACTTTTTTTAGAGAACTAATCTACCATGAGATCTTTTAGTTGTTAAAGTATGTACAATTTGTGTACATACAGTATATATAACATGATATGATAAATTTTGCTTCATGCTAATTAATTATATAGCTTCTTGTAAAATCGTACACAAATCTCAGAGGATACTTATGTATTTTTTCAAGTGTAGTAGTAGTGTTCATGTCACTAAAGTAATGCCAAGCCAAGTAACTAAAATTGAAATTGGAGAGGATAAATGTATATAGGATTGTTAGTTTGTTGGTCCATTCATAAATCAGCTAGCTTTACAATCATCCATTTTGTTAATAT